CCCCCCCCCCCCCTAAAATACAATAACTTCAAGTTTAATAGAGTGGAAGATAAGAACCAGATTCACCCCGAGGTCAAGATAAAAGCAGGCGGCGCTGCCTGTGGCTGGCTGCCCGCTCAGTTCATGCTTGGCAGAAATGTCCCAGGACCCCTTCCAGGTGGGGCAAAACATTCTGGACTAAAGCTACAAGCGGAGTGGTCAGGACATGTAAACAAAGCTGAACGTCACCAGTGGATAGCGTGTGCGTCCCTCCCCACCTCACATTCATCCCAGTCCCGCGGGATCCTTCCCTGGTCCTGTCACACAGTCTCTGGCAGTGTCCTGAGGTCATAGGTTCCCCCACTGCTCTACCGGGGGAAACTGATCCACTTCGCCAACCTCTGTACTGGGCTGGTCTCCCAGGGTGAAGGTCAGTCTGTATCTCAGCCTCACTTTCTCCTGCAGGGAAGACAAAACCCAAGAGCAACATGAGAACAGCTCCTGAACAAAACACCTCCCTGTTACAGCTCTGCAGAGCACACAGGCCTCCTGTTGCACATAGGAGGGGGGAAGTTCATGGAGTAGTTCAGCTATTTAGCAAACCCGAGTTATTTACCTTACAGTTTTTATACCACAAAAGCTGTATTGCTTAGCAAGGAACAGCAGGAGAAAAGCAGGAATGCCCTGTGATAACAGTTGGCACATCTGTGGCCAGCACCCACTGCTCAGCTGCTCTCCAGTGAGCCTGAGAATGCTGCTGGAATAGTTCCACATGTTCAAAATTAAATTCCTCCTCTCATGGAGGAAGATAAAACAGTTCCTGCTCCGCAAAATTCCTAGTAAAACGGTAAGCAGGAGATAGAACCAGTGAGGGGATCTCCATGTACCTCACAAAGTCTTTCAACTATCCACCAAACCCCTCTGACGTTTATCCTTTTGGATCTCAAAGCTTTCCGCTGATACTTTAAGGACCCTTTTGCTGTAATTCTCAAGTAGTAACATCTAGACTTGTCAAATAATTAGGAACTGCTTCAGCATACAGCTTTGAGCTTTATGGAGCTGGCTACTTCAATGAGTAACAACAGCTACTCAGGTGCTCCCAGCACCATCAGCAGCAAAGAAAGCATTATTCACATTGTTTCACCAGCCACAGGTACATCCCTAAAGAATAATGGAACAGACATAATCTAAAATCTGTCTGTTGGTCCAGGTCTGTCAGGCTACAGCCTCAACACAGCAAAAGTATTTCCACAGCACCAGCTAATTTGACAACAATCTAATTATCACTGAAGCCAGGCACTTCCCGTGCACGAGGGAGTCAGGCAAACTCCCGATACAGCTCTGATCACTGCCCCTTAAAGCTGAGCCTTATCCGACTGTCGCTGGGAGAAACGTACAGGTCCTGCTCATGCTTTTCTTGCTGACGGTCTGTTGGAGAAGAGACTGTGAACAGGCTCCCTCTAGCCCTGAACTGAAACACCAACATTGTGCAGTAACCACCTCTGGAGGGCACATTAGGAATAAACAGCTTTATCTGCTCAAACGGTTGGTCCAGCTCCCCTGCAGAATTCAGCTCACATCAAACGTGTCTGACAAGGACGGGATAAACCCCCCCGTCCCTCTCACCTTCGTAGGATTTGCCAGAAGCATGACTTGGGTGATGGCAGCAGGTGGCTGGATGGGATTGAATGGAGACAGCTCTGTGCCAGAGGGTGGTTGTAACTTCACTTTCATGGACTGCAAATGAAAAACAAAGTGGAACCTCATGGATTGTCTCCTATTGTGGGGACAACGAAAGCTGCACGCACAGGCTGGGGAGACAACAGCACACATCCAAACTGGGGGGATCAATCCACACACCAGGATGAGGAAACAAGAGCCAGCCTGGCTTGTGCAATGTGATAGGAACAGGCAGACTGACAAGTCAGCCCAGGGTAAAAGCACTGCTCAGGTGAACATCAACACCACCTTCCTGAGTGCTCTTGTGCCAGAGGTTTTAAAGTGAACACCTTCAGGACAGCAGGCAGATCATAGCTGAGATTGGGCCAGTTTTCAAAACACAAAGCTGCCCATCCAAAATTATCTAGCTGCAGTAAGACTAGAATGGAACATATTGACAGATCTAGGATGCCTGTTAGAAATTCTGATTCTAAAGACCTCAAGGGTGGCTCTGTCCATGTAACCAGCCCTGCCATTTGTGCTGAGCCACCTTCATGAACAGACCCAGCTGGATTGATCTCGGATAGCAAGAAAAACAGAACACTAACTACCTGCAATAGCGTTCTATTTATCCTATTCAGTGTTTTCTGCCTCTGACAACCAGCTCTATGTTTTGGAAACAGGCAGAGCATGGCCTATAGACAGGCAGAACCAGAGCACAGCCTATAGGCAAGGCACAACCAGGCTGTCTCAAGTCCTTAAGTTCACGCCCAGCCTTCCCAAAATCCCAGTTTCACGTCGCCGAGGCTCTGAGCCACACGTCCCTACCTTGGGCACAGCAGCCTGCAGCACGATGTTCTTCACAGGAAGCGGTGCCGTGTTCAGCATGGAGACCACCACCACCAGCACATCCGACCTCCCCGGCGGGCACTCCCTGGCAAAGTGCAAGAGGATCCGGAAGCCGTTCTTGTCGTAGGCTGTCACTGGGAGGGCACTGCCTACCAGAGAGAGAGGGGACAGGAATGCAGGTTTATGCTGCAGAAGACACTCCGTAGCAGCATCAGGCAATCTGACTTTGTGTGGGACAGCTCATCCTTCCTCTCTACTTCATAAGCTTTGTCAAGAAGCTTTGCTTTTAAAAAGTGTTCAAGAGAGAGGTGGAAAACCTGAGATACTTACTGGGTTTAATGGATTCCAAGGGCACATGGACATTGGCCAAAGAAATTTCAGGTGCTTTCATGGGACTGCCTTGCTGCTGGAATGATGCCGGCTGGAAGAGAGGACTTCCCGAGCCAGCAGTGCAGGTGCTTGGGAAAGGAACCGGAGGGGCTCCAGGGGCAGTGGCTGGCAGCCCTGCAGGGGCTATTAACGGGGCAGAGGTGACAGCGGTTGGCAAAGTAACCCCAGGGAACACCGAGGGTGTCGCCATGCCTTGGGTGGCAGTCCTGGAACAGAGACAGAAAAATACAGGAAATTGAGCTGAAGGTGAAGCAGGTGTTTCACCACAAACCCAGAGATAACAGCAGATCATGAGGACAGAGCAGGGCCCCAGGGCCAGACTGGAGTCTCGTTATGGTCTCAGGTAAGGAGAGCTACTAGGGAAGCAGTGGTGGTGGGGTCAGGCATCACTTCTCTAAGTCAAGAAGAAAGCAGAGTCCCACCTTTGCCGAGGTGGGCAAAGGCCTCTGTACCTCAGCAGCCTGTTCAACTTTACACCCCACATTTGTACCGGGCAACAGAACAGCTCTGTTGTGCTCCACCCAGTAGTGCCTGCCTTCCCTTCCCAGAGCTGGGACCCTTGTATTACTTTGTCAACTGAAACTCTCTGAAAGGAAAAATCCCAGTCACACATTTCTACCAAACCAGAGAGCTGAGGGTCTGCCACTGAACCCGAAGCCCCAGCAAGCTCAGCTTTCTCACTGCAGCAAAGCAAAGCTCAGGACTTCTAGTTACCCTTTGGCTTCTTCAAGGAGTTGTCCCAATGCATCCATCTTGTGTGACATATTGCTCCCCACAGGTGAGCTGAAGTACCCAGGAGCAGCTGGAATAGTCTTAGGAGGCCCCGCAGGGGCAGCTGGTCCAGCAGAGAATACAAATGGTGCCGTGTTTGGTACTGGGATGCTGGGAGCAGTCTGAGAGGCTGTGAAAGCAGGAGGCAGCGTCACCGACGTTCCACACGTGGTCTGTGATGTGGGATGGAGAAGAGGGGTCCCTGCAGGGTTGCAAGCGCCAGTCACCGTCTTCGGATTAAAGAAATCCAGGTCCAACTGGTCGTTCTGAAAGAGAGGACAAGCAGATGCTCTCACTCACTGCTACCCCCTGTTGCAGAGATGGCACTGTTACAGAGGGAGATAGATTTACCGCAAAAACAGGTGCTGGGTGGCAAGCAGCAAACTCTGTGGCCTATGTCAGGGCTACATCTGATCTGTAATTTAAGCAAAGGAAGTGCTAACATCATGGGGGTCAGATGGGAAACTGAGAAAGCCAGGTTCAGGGATATCTACTCTGTTCAGACACAGCTATCCCAGATTACAGGGCTAAGCCAAACTTCCCCTCAGGAACTGAGAGGAACTGTCCCTCTGCCTGTATGTGTCATCACGTTTCTCCAAGGTGACAGAGTGTGTCCTGAGACCTCCCACAACCATTCCCTCCCCTTCCTCAGAGACCCTCCTTTGTACCTCAAACATGCTCCACTGGTTGTTTTCTGATGTCTCCTTTGCTGCTGTAGGGGCTGGGTCATTCAGGCCTGAAAGGAAAAATAACAAGCAGGTGACTGGAGGAGAAAGTGAGTCAGATGTCATCCCCTGGCAATTGTTTCAGTACCATCAAACTACTTGATTCAGCTCTGCCAGAGCCCAAGAACCTGATGAAAGACTGAAAAGAGCTGCAAGCCTATGATTAGGAAAAGACACTGACACAGGAGTAGGTGACAGCACCCCCTGCACACAGCTCTTCTAACCCTTCCTGATGTGCAGTGTCTTCTGCTGCTGAGACCCAGGCTCCACAGGCAGGCGTTCTGCAGGGTTCTGTAAGCAACCCCTCTAAGGCACCTTGCACTTTAGCACAGCCACAAAGTCAGGGGTGAAATACGTACAGAACTGCAGCTGGCATGTCCAGGCACCTGCAGGTACCAGACTGCAATTACACTCAAGTTATTTCACTTGCAGCCTACCCTGGGAAGATCTGAGTTTTTAATACTGACTCACTGACAAGGTCTTATATTCAGAATGATGCCAGGGAGTGTCCCCTGGACTTCTCTAGAAACCAAAGGCATCTCAGGCTCCTTTCAGGCATGCTGTGTGTGCAGCCAACCCTCACACTGAAGGAAGAAAGCAGTCTTTGTTAGGGATGGACTGAGTAGCCCTTTTCTGGGCCCCTCGGTGTCTTACCTAAGCACAGAAGCTCCTCATCCAGCAGGGAGAGGGAGTTGGTCGTGCTGCTCTGCTGAGTGGCTGCAGCTTCCACTTGGCCAGAGGAACCGCTCCGCAACTGGGCAAAGGTCTGGGGAGGAGGTGGGAGAATGGGGATTTCTGCTGGGGCTGCTGTGGGGGCTGGCGTCAGGGTGGTGGGTGGCACTGGAGGTGGCGGGGTGCTGGTGACGTCCAGTCCACCAAGGTCAATGAGGGTGTTGAGGTGACTTGTGGAGTTACTCCCTGCAGCGGACAGGAGAAGAGCACTACTAGGAAAGAAGGTAAAAGGCTCAGAGCAAACCCAACGTACAGCAGAAATTACAGAGAGATGGTTTAGATAACACAGATCCTCATTTAATCACGTGTTATGGCTCTTTGTAACAGAGGAAGCCCACGTACTTTCCACCTAACCCTTTGCTGCCCACAAGCTGCTTAAATCAACCCAGAGACTTTGGAAATTTCTATCTGAAAATCAACACCTGCTCCAACCACTGCTCTTTCCCCAGTGCTTCTTGTAGCAAAATTCTTAGTCTTTTCAAAATCCTTTCAGCTCAGGTGAGGCTTTGGGAGATCCTACAGAATTACAATAAACAAAGGCTACCAGAGAGCCAGAGACCTGAGGAAAATTCATAGTGTCTGGATCTAGAATTCCCTTCATATTCAAGACAGTCTTGTCTCAATAAGCTGCTGTCAGGCAGCATTACACATTCCTCTACTGCTCTCCATCCAGAAACGTGTAAGGGACTCCAAAATGGTACCTCTGCCACACACGTGTCCAGAGCTTTCAATGGTGAAACTGAAGTGTAAAGTGAGCGACTGGCCTAAATTCACAAATGCAATTGCTGGCAAAACCAGGACCCCTGGCCTGGCTCCCACTCTCTCTGGCACTTCAGGGCATGCTCTAGTGGCTGAGATTGTAGGGTTTTTTTAATGTGTATGTGTGGTTGGACTCGGTGACTCAGAGGTCCTTTCCAACCACAATAATTCTGTGATTCTATTGTCCTTTTGATAAAATCGTCCCCTTCTTACACATCACCATTAATAAACAGGACAAATGTGGGGAAGAAAATGTATGAGAACTTGCAGCCATACAAACTGTTCAGATGCAGGTTTGATACTGATGTTATCAAAAGTTTTAATAATATGGAACAGGCATTGGAAAATACAAAGCTGCATCACTGTTGCTCATGTCCAGAATTGTCTATCCCCTGCTCAGGAGCTGGCTTGTCCCCCTCTGATTCACAAGATGTCGGCTACAGGAACCCTCAATAGCCTACTTTACCCCAATTAATAGGAAATCCCATTGAAAAGACTCAGAATTGCAGGATTCAGAATTAAACAGTTGGCTTTCCAGGAACTCACCTTCCACCACAGACATCCCGGAGAGATCCACTTCACCATTGATCACTTGCCCTTCTATTATTTTTTTATAGGAATTTATCACACGGGATAAATTGTCACTGGCCTGCAGAATATCCCCTACATGCAAGAGAGACAAAAACGACCTCCAAGACTTTAGTATCTTTGCTCCCACCAACATCGAGAGTACTCAGTTATCAACCAAATAATCAGCAAGAAAAAACATAATTATTTGGCCATGAGGTCCATTAGTCTTTGCCATGCTTCTCTAAGCAGTACCCTGACCTTTCTAGGTCTGTGCACATTACAGTAACAATGAAAAAATGAGTCCAAAGCTTTGTTCCCCACAGCAACTCCCCTTCCCTTCCAAAGCAGCAGCTGTCCCCCATTATCACCCCCAGCCTCCCAAACCACCACCTCCACCTTCCTGTCAAGTCCTTGCCCGAATTTAAATGATAAGCATAAAGAAGCAAGGATCTTGTCTTTCATCTGCTTGCTCAAAGCGAAGCACATTCACAGTGAAGAGGCTTCTTTACAGCAGCCATTCCCTCGCTGAGCCCTTGCACAGCCACAGGTCACAAAAGCAATTAAAAAAGGAGAAATATAAATTCGTTTACCCAAACTGCTGTCATTATCCTCTGTCTCACTGGCCAGCTTGAATAACGTCCGTCTTTTGGTTTCACACCTTTCATAGAGCTCCTGGCAAGACAGATTAGCACAAAGGGTTTCATCAGCCAGGAGCCACTTTCAGCAATACCAGTCAGCCCAGAATGACTCCCCAGGCATGCATTGGGAAGCCCAGAATAGCAAAAGCAGTCTCCCTGTGCTGGACACGCCAGTGTGGCTGGACCAAGATCCCCTGTCCCTGCCTGTTACAGAGATGTGAAGCATTACGTTAGCCTGGGAGGCTAAACACCATCTGCACCTTCAACACAACATCTCTCAGTCCTTCCTCACATCAGCACTCAGGGCCAGCTCTAGCCCAAAAGAGATGTTCCTTTCTGGTATTACAGTACTCCCTAAAAGCCCAAGGAAAAGCAGAACTGTGCTGCAACCTCTACTTGGAGAGTCTGCAACCACACAGAAGAAAGGTGGCAAGAAGGAAATGTTTTGCAGAAAGAAGCCAGTTTCTTTAGCTTCCTACCATTATTTCAGGAGCTTGTTGTTAAACACAAGGAGGTTTAACCTTTTTAAATCAGATAAGGTGTTGCCTTCAAGGCCCTGGTGTCTGTTTTGATTTTTACCTTCTTGATGTTCTCCCAATCTTTTAACCCTAGCTCAAATTCTTTGTAATTCTCTGCAAAGCTCAAGTCTGTAAGAAGAAAAGACCGACCATGGGATTTCTGGGAAGAAGGAGCAGCTCAGACCCACCTTCATGAGCTCTCTATCGGCCTCTGATGAGTCCTCTTTGCTGTAATGAACCAACATCTCATTCAGCAGCTTCACATTGTTATTTACTTCCTCCAGTGTGTGCATGCGTTTCGTCACTTTTTGAATCCGAGCCTCATCCTACAGGGGGTAAAACACAGACATAAAAAGTGAGCTTCCCTGTAAAGGTCCACGGTATCACAACAGCAGGTGTTATCTGTAAATCATGTCAAATAGTGTCTATTTAAAGTTAAGCTAGAAAAAACCCCCAACAAATTCTCATTCATGTGAAGTTGTGCTTATTTTATTATCTTTTCACCGCCATTCTGAAGTGATACAACCTCCTGCATTTCTGAAAAGTCTCATTAAATAGTCTTTAATTTCCAACCTTTTCAGAAGATTATTTTTTTTTTTATCATTTGGTGCTATTTTAAGAAAAAAAATGTCTCTGAAGCAAAACATTTACTAGTAACAACAAGCACTCTTTGGTAGAAAATGTCCACCCATCTCTGATTTGAGATTCCAACTAAAGGAAAGTCTGCCCTGGGGACAGGAGAAGGTTGAATGGAAACATTGCAGCAACCTATACATCTTCTTCAGTCTAGAAGTGACCCTATTTTTTGGCCAGAAACAGAGTGAGTCATTTCCTGGACTCCAGGGTTTCCAATGACTGCCATGGGTGGATGCATCACAGCTCTACAAACAGGAAGGTGCTTCCATGAAGCCTGCTTGTGAGAAGACCCCGTCCAATGACTCAGTCCTCATTGTCCAGGGTTGGTACTGCGATGGTCCCACCAAACCCTGACATGAAATACCATCTTGAGTGATGAGAATGTAGTTAATTACAATAAGGGGCATTCAATCCTTGCCCCAGAGACACCAAATGTAGACATTTTTGTGATACCAACATCTCCCAGTTGTGAGCTGGAGTCTAAGTCTTAACTAAGGAACGTACTAACACAATGCTCCCAGAGCCTCAAAAACCCAGGTGCTGCCACTCACATGATCCTAAAGCTCTTCACCATTTTGGAGTCAAATTGGTAAAACCTGGAAAGCAGACTGCTGACTGGGATCAATCCTACATGACTTTCTTACCTCTTTTACCATGGATTTTATAAGCTTGTTGGCCTCTTGTAAATCATCTGGGTTTTTGCTTTTCAGCAGTTTGGCTAGAAGCTGTAAGATGAGAAGATATTCAGAAAACAAATAAAGACCTTTTGGAGAGGTAAATGTAATCAACAATTTTCAATCAGTAAAAAAATCAGCAAAAGAAATGTAAGTGAACAATTGAGGAGAAGAGAGCCCATTATCAGAAAGCTTATCCTGCTTCCATAGTTACAGTGATTTCAGCTGGAATAATTTATGGTTTATTATTTCATGCGAGTTGCTGCCTTCTTGCTTCTACACAGGACATATCTGTGAAATCTCAGACACTTCTGACACTAGATAATTTTTCTTAACTTCGGGTTAGGTAGGGGGATAAAGTAATGAATTCTGTGAAAGTACACATCACCGGACCGAAAATAAAAGCCGAATTAGTATTGAGTATTGAGATTAGTAAGTAGTAGTAGTAGTAGCATTGAGTAATCACTCTTCATTAGTGATTACGATACAAGTCTTCACTGTACCTTGGATTTCTCCTCATCATCAAACACAGGGTTTTTGGGACGAGGCGGTGGAGAGGGAATCAGGGTTCTGTCTGCAGGAATCACAGGATCAAACATAACGATCCCTGAAAGCAGAAAGGGAACCCACAGGGGTTTGCACACACAGTCACACCAGACAGTGCACCCAGTTATTCACAGGCTGCTCTCAAAGCGAACACGCAGCCAACGTGTCCATCGATACCAGCACACTGTTCTCATGAACAATACAGGATCAAAATCACTGAGTCTCCTAGCTGGAAAAATAAAGAAAGTTTTCTTTGATAAATGCCAAAACCCCAGCAACAGCGTTTCCATGTCCATACTGCTCCTCTAGCAGCTCAGTATAATGAATAACTCTCCACTATTTGTCTTTCCCCCTTTCACATTGGCTGTTGAACCCCTAAGTGAAGTCTCAGAAAACCCAGCTTTGTGCAAGCTCATGGGCACGACATTTGTTTGTGGAAATGAGCTGAGCAGGAAAGCAGACAGCAATGCAAAACGGGGTGATGAGCAGACTCCCAACCACGAGTGGGGAAAGAGCCAAGCTTTCTGCTTATTCCATTCTCAAATCCCTGGATTTGTGCTCTATCTCAGGAGCTTTGCTGGAACCAATTTTTCTTGTGTCGGAGCCGCATGCTTCTAAGCTGAGCCTTTTTCACTGTGCCTGCACAGTAAAGTTTTATCAGTCAAACTAAAGGTACAACTGTAAAGTGATCTAGTTAGAAGAACACAAAAGGCTACATGGACGCTCTTATTTCACTTTAAATTAGATGTATTCAAATCTAATTAATAACTAGTTCCAGAAAACCTCAAAAAAGGCCCTGCAAACCAAAACTAAAGCATTTATAAGGTGTTTAACTAATCTAGTTAAAAGCCGATCTAAGCCAGCCCAAGGCACTTACATATAATGAGAAGCTTTTCAGGGAATTTCTCCCTTGTTCTATCTTCCCTCAGAACTTGCCTTGACCCCATGTAATTAGAAGATGTATATTTTGTGACATTCCTACTTAAAGCACAGGCTGGAGAGAATGCACAAACAAGCAGCTGACTTCCTACCTTGTCGCTTCAACATGTAGTAGGCATCCTTGATTTTGGATTCTTCTGGCAATGCCACCGTCCAGCTATACAGCAATTCAATGACTTTGGTCTTCACCTTCTCTGAGACCCGGTCTCCCAGGTACTGAGAGTGGGGAAAAGATGTCAGTTTTCCACGTTCCTCATTTCTTTTTAAGAATAAAGCCCAAACCCAGAGAATAGGCATTCAGTGATAGACACTAAAAGATGTATAATCCAAGTTCCAAGATGATCTAAGATATTAAGAGGAAAAAATTGTTCCTCAAATATATTTGAAATAAAGTAAAGAGAAGCTGTGATTATCTGCAGTAAAAGAAAAAGCAGCTATTCTGTTGGTTTCAGGATTTTGCTATTTAAAAATTACAGCAATAGGGATAACCACCCTCCCCAACCCCCATCTTATGAGAAAGAATCTTGGAATAGTTTGCTGCATCAATCATGCCTTGGGGTGCCTCTGTCTGTTTTTTGCCACATTAAACTGATCATGGATGTTGAGGGACCACGCCAGGCACTGTTAGCACAGCAAAACGGGACCAGACTGATGATTAGAACTCCATGGTGTGTTGCTAAGTCCCTTGTTTTCACCTCTGCATCACATCCCTCCTCCACTGATGCTGGGGTTTTGTTTGTTTTTTAAAAGGAATACAGCCCAAGCTTTAGAAGCCCTTGAAGGATTAGAACAGCACAGAGACTATATACTGGTAACTTTAGAAGCCCTTGAGTTATATGAAGGATTAGAACAGCACAGAGACTATATACTGGTAAATAAATACAAGGTAAATATGGTAAATAAATTTATGGTAAATAAATACAACTTACTGAGAAAAATAGTAAGCAGAGCATTAAAAAAAAACCCCATCCCTTAGCTAAAAAATGTTCTTGAGTATAGGCTAATAAATGCAACGAGCCAGACAGAGCACTGCAAACATTTTGGATGTTGCCTGTAGCTTACGGAGACCAAACAAAAAGTAAATACAGCCACGAGGCTCATGGACTAACCTTCGGAGACACAACTTTTATTAACTCGTTTAAAAAGCGAAACTTCCCTACTTCGTTATGAAATCTTCTGCCACAATTCTTCATACAAGCTTCCAGCACCTGCATTCAAGTAACAAAAACAGGGGCTGAAATGAACACCAAAACTCTTCAGTAACCTGCGTTCTGTTTACAAGGGAACTGAAGGACCCATGCCAGTAAGACACGGATTCCTGCTCTGTGAGACAGGCATGAACCTCCCATCTTTAGGGGTGACACATCAAAACAGGCTGGTTTCCCACCCTCAGCCACGTACACATGGGTCAGAGTTATCTCACCATTAGGTCTCACAACAATGAACACAAATCTTGACTGAAGATAATAAGTGAACGCAGCTAAAACTAAACCAGAGTTATTTCTGACTGCTCTATTGCTAATGAGCAATCTGGACATTTCAATTACGTCACCGGGCTCCTTCTTACCGTCCACTCCCTCCCAGCAACAGGGAATCAGGACATTCAACCCCAGAACCAGCCCCACTAACCCCACCGACACACATCATGCCCTTTTATGCTCTGCACAGATGATGTCAAATGGTGTATAGCTGGATTTAAGAGGAGGGGTAAGGACTACCTACTGTCAAGGCTTGGACCGCCTCCCATTCCTGCGGCGACTGGATTTTATGAGCCAGGAGTCTCACAGCTATCTGTGGCCTGAAACAAAGCAGGTCCCCATTATGAACAAAGCAGGTGAACACACTGAAGTATTTTCAAACTTGCACAGATTCTGCTGTTCAAACGAGATGTCTTTCACATAATTAAAAGGAAATGCCGTTTAGTACTTTTTATCTTTCCATCAACATACAAAGACTAAAAAGAAATGTTCAGGGCATCTTTGTAGGCCTGGGTGTTTGCACGTATGAAAGGAAGCGAGGGCTGGAAGTCTGAGCCAGCAGTTCCAGATTCCTGCTTGGGAGGGGCCAAACAACTCCCAGTACAGTCCCCAGCCCAGGAAATCACTTCATTTCTCTTGCATTAGTTTCCTTTTTCCAGAAGAAAACACTTATTCCTTAGCTTACAGGAATGCTGTGACCCAGGAGGTTTCCTCAGTTAAGAAATCCTTGTGAAGTTAAATCCTTGTGAAGATTTTAAAGACATGAAGCCCCATCAGACACTAAGAGTTATAACCCCATTTCACAGACTGAGTTTGGCCAGAGGAGAATCTTGCAGCTGCAGAAGCTGACATTAGAGGCAGATTCAGAATTTCCATTTTCCCAGTGCTCAGTCTGTGTATGAGCCACGCTGCCTTTCACAGAAGAGAAACCACACTTCACAGCATCTTATTTCTTTTGTAGCCAGATATTCATTGCGATATCAATACACATATAAAATAAAATATGGAATTTTGATAACAAAATTATATATTTTAAACTGTGAATGTTAATTTATTAAGTCTAGAATGGTTTGGGACACCCACCCTTCAAGTTCTTTGTTGATCTGGTCACAGAATCCGATGATGTATTCCCAGTCTTCTTGCCTGTTAGACGGGTTAGTGGCTTTATCTTTGGTAAGGGAAAGAGAACATATTACCAATCAAGCAAAAGAAACAGTATAAAAGGTCATGCATTTCCTAGAGAAAAGCATTTGATATTTGTTGCCAACTATAATGAAAGGAGAAAGAAGTTCACACATGGTATGGCTGTTCAGGGAAAAAAGGGTGTGTCCAAGCTGAGACATCCAAATATCCAGCAAGAATCACTGCTTTCCAAAAAAAAAAAAACCAAACACCAAGTGCCAAATCTCAAGTACTTAGAAAGACCATATTTCCATACTCTAAATGAGAGTACAAGATAAAATATTTGAGCTCATACAGTTTCCCTCTGCCTGAAATGTTATCTCTTTCTATTTGGCTATAACATTAAACTCCTTAAAGGCTAAACCCTCACATTTTCTACATGGGAAGTTATTTTTGTATTCCCTGGGAGTTTGGTAGAAGTAAGAGCTGGAACATCAGATGTTTAATATAAGTCATTTAACATTAACACTTGTTTTTAGAGTGCCAGCTGATTTGTTAGATGCCTTAGCATTTCTCCTGGGAATTATGCACTGAAATTTATTATTACACATTGAGATGTTCTTGGAAGTAATAAACACCATTGCCTGTAACCTGATCAGGAATTCCAATCCAGTATGCTCACACGGACAGGCCAATGCTCTACTGACTGGGCTATTTCAGGCTCCTGAAGGTACCAGGACCTCGCTTATTGTACTGATTAGTGAGGCTATCAGCATCTTTTCTTGTTATAAATGCATCTTCTCCTTGTATTCCACTTAACTCTGATGGAGCACTGAATTTTCAGTAAACCAGATTCCTGCTTTAACCTAATTTTCCAGCCAAGATGACTGGATGTGATGATTTTTCTTTCTTGTAAGGGAAGAACCAACACGTTGTAGCTACATATCTAAGGGCTGGCATTTAAGCAGCCTTCCTCAAAAATTTTAATACAATGGAAATAGACACAGAAAAGAAATTATTGCTTAGCCAGACAGTATAGAGCAGGGAAAGGAGGACAGGGTAAAGACCAGCACATATCCCTGTACTTTCATCACAGAGGGAAGCATAACAAAATATATACATACTACATAAGTGTAATTTTTAATCATGATAAAACATATCTTTACCTTTCCATGGGCAGATAAAACTGGCTGTTAAGTATCTACTCTGAAACATCACTTTCACAGTGCACCTTAGTCCTCCTATTGTAGTGTTCTAGAAGGTTTACTCTTATTTTCCTCCTCATGAAAAAAGAGTTGTAAAGCAATTTTGTGAATTGTTCCATGGATTACACCTGCAGAGGCGAATCTCTGTGCCCGCTGGTGACATTCATGGGACCCTTGATAAGCAAAAGTCCAGGGAGGGCTAACCATAGGATCACATCTTGTTGTACAAACTAAGCCACCAAGCTATTTTTTGAAGTCAAGAGATTCAAGGGAGGCTTAGTTTAAAACGCAGCTGCTGCAGAGCCAAGCAACTGTTCAAAACATGTGGCGCTTAAACCTTATTACCACACTCACAACTGCTGAACACCCTGGAAGCATCATGAAACCACAGACTCACAACAATCTAAAGCCTTTTCATGCAAGTCAAATGGTATTGTGCATGGTTCGGTGCTCCAAAGCACCTCTGCTGCTCTGCAGGTCTAGACGAAAGAAATGCGGTTCTTGGCTGGAGTTAATGGAATTTATGTAATAAATCCAGGAAGAGCACAAACAAGTAAGGACACTCAACTAAATGAACTCTTTGCTGGTTGCACATCCTGAAATTAGGAAAGAGATCTGGTACAAACAGCAAAATGTAACCAACATCTCCGTGTTCCAAGTGTTAATTTTCAAGTTGTTCTGAACATCTCCAAAGATTTCTTGGAATGACACTGGATTATTTCACACTCTCAGACTGGGTTCAGATTCATTGAAGTTTTTTGCACCAAAAGCTCTCACATAAAGGTAGTAAAGTCTCAGAAGGAGAGAGATTACTGAAGGGAAGTTATGATCCACATGAGGAAACTCCCTATTTCCAGCATTCATAAAATCTCCATTTGAAAGCCCAGTTCATAAAAGTTAATAAGCTTGACCAGAAGTCCTGCCCTGGCTCTGGAAATTGATGTGTTCTCATGACACAATGCACAGCGTGCATGGATACCTGAACTGATTTGGGTACCTATCTCAGTACAGCCACATGAACACAGCACCCCAGGTGAGCTAGCTTACCTTGCTTAACCTTTTCAGGACATCCCTACATGAAGCTGCACCATGTCTATGAAGGCATAACTTAAATTCCTCTATTTTTATGCAGAACACTTAAAAACGTGGGCAGGGAGCTCTTCTGCACTGCCTTATAAATATGCTTCAACCCTTCTATGAAAGGGTTTCTTCCAGGAAGAAGAGTTTGGTGCTCTGGAATATCAAATCCTTGGCTTCTTTGTTGAAACTGCCAACAAAAGCCCATTTGGCAGCGGATAGAAAGTTTGCTTTCAGAGACTCTTGTCCACCAGGCCCCATCCTGAAAATCCCATTTCACGTTGGCAACCAAGTGAATCCGAACGAGCAACCTGGGAACAAAATTCTCAGCGCTACCCCAGTCCTGCCACCACCTCTGCCTTAGCTTTCAGACACCACTGTGCTCAGGACATATGAACTTGCTTCATGCTTGGCCTAAGAGTCAGAGCCATCCAGCCCCCAGCTGCTCTGCTAAACCCCCAAACGCTAATGAGTCAACACTCAGATGCATCATTAGATATGAAACAAAGGTGCTTATTTTCTCTATAGAGAAAAAACATTGGAACGAAAAGAACCACAGACCATTAATTGACTAGTAATGAATGCTTGTATTTTCCTGGGTTTACTTCTATACTGAAATGAGACAAAAGCCATCCCAACAAAGGGTTTCCCCAGGTCATGCTTAGCATATGAATTGGAAATCCTCTGGCCCAAGCAGTGCAGTCTAACAGTGAGATTCTGTTTGTATCCCCGGGAGGAGAAGGAGAATGCTCATCCATGACAATACAAGGAAAAAAGAAATTAAGGCAACCATAAGATTTCATCTATCTGCATCTATTCCATGCCTGGACATTGCCTAAGCCTGACATGAGGGTGACACAATAAGCTTCCTTTTGGATGCAGTAGAAAAGGCAGCGCTACAGTCAAAGGATCCAGCTGCGTTTGTACAACTGACATTATTTTCTAAGCTCCTCTCCTATTTCAGCTAAGTGCAGAAGAAGAGCCCGCTGGCAGGGAGAGAACAGAAAGGATCACCTTCTCTCATCCCAGCTGCCTGAAATGAGGCAGGAGACATGAAGATGCTAGATCATCACTGGCTGAAGTGCAGATCTTGCTGCAGTATTAGGACACGAGGATGATGTTACTTCATGGGTCTATGACTCCACCTGATGACAGAGACAGGGCAGTGTGGAAGGCCACATATTACCGGTACAGAAAAAAAAACCAAAAAAACATTGGCAATAAGAAATTTTCCATCTTTCAGTGACTGAGAAGTTGGCTGTGCTGCTGAGCAATTCTGGCCCTTCCCTTTAGTAAGGGCACAGCAGGCACACACCCTCAAGGTTAGCATTAGCCATGGTGCAGCTTTGTGATGGTTACAAGAAAGAAAACCTCAGGAGGGCTGGTGAAAGCGCTGAGATGCCCCAGCCTTTGCACTCTGCCTGCCCGGTCCGCACGGCTCCGCCGGTAATTTCCGTACACCAACTGCTCTCTGCTCCCCTACTATGGGAGGAGCGATATAATCACACCAGCACAAATCACTGTAGCAGTGACCTGGCATAAATGCATCCTCTTAAACGAGGGAGCAACACTCAAGCCTTGAAAAATGTGTACACCTCTGCAATCAGGCTCACTGCAACACTTCTTACAGTGAGTAAGGCCTTTGCAATGCTAGCCTTTAGCATACGTCCTCCGGTGCAGAACATCCTACTGCTTGGCCAAGGGAAATAACTTCTCTCTTAACTTTAATTAAAAAATAACCCCACAAAACAAACAGCCAGGAAGCTTTCCGGGCTATACAACCTAAAATATCCTTCCTACTAGAGATATTTTCACACACAAACTGAACTTGGTGAGTCAGTCCTCCTCAGAGAAAGATGAAAAGGAAGGGATGTGGGTGTTTCTTCATGTGTCTCGCTGGCTACAATAAAAGATATTGACAAACTGTGGGAGTTCAGAGGAGGAGCAAAAATGGTAAGAGGACAGAAGGGATTGATCTAAAATGAGAAGAGCTGAAAACATCATTTAGCCAGTAACTCCTCTAACAGAGGATGATACCATCTATGTGTTTGAATCTTAAATAAAAATACAAAGAACAAGAATTATTTAATCTTGTTTATGGAAGGTAAGCCCAAAAGGGTAACATGTTTTGTACTCTAAGGTATGCAGGGTAATGACCATCTTCTGCTGTTGGCTGAGTACTTAGGAACTTCACTCGCTGCTATAACCAAACAAATAACTATTACAAAAAGAAGAAAATCTAGACAACGGGCTAGGGATGTGCAGGATAGCCTTCCGGGGCAGCAGCAGGAGCCCTCTGTGTGAAATATATGAAAAACAATTACTGTTATGACTGATTCATTCAAGAATCACCTCCTGATCTGCCAGTGCTGGGTTGGGAGCACAAGGTTCTGTACAGCCAACAGCCCAAAAGCCACCCGATTCACAGACAGACACACAACAAGGGGATACTCAGCAAAGTGTGGATAAACAAGCCAAGGGTTTTTTTTTGTTTATTTTTTCCCCCTGCCCCTAACATTAGAGATCCTGTGATTAAAAAATACCTTACCCTGACAAAGGATGTTTGAACATTCCAGTCTGTAGGGAACGGACAGCCATACCTCCTACCCTGAAACTGCTGCTAGGTGTAAAGCAGAATTTGCTTGAAAAGCACGCTTGTATAACACATTAATATAATTTATTTGTGAAATCCCTACAGTTCTGAGCCCCATGGACAGCACGAAGGCTGTACACTTTGCCAACCACCACCCAGGTGAGGGAAGAAGAGACAGCAGGAACAGACACACACACCATTATGGTAAAATAAATAAATAAAGCCACAGCCTTGCGGGTGCTCGAGCTACAAACCTGCCCGTTCCTCACACCTCCCGACGAGCAAACGGATGAGCGGCCCCAAGGGGCTGCCGTGCCCTGACCCCCACAGCTCCGCACCTCAACGCGGGCACCGGCCACCGGAGCTGAGGGGAGGCCTCAGCCCTTCCCCCCCCACCCCGGAGGTCTTTTCTCCCGGAGGACCATCCTCGGGGCGCTCACAGCCCCTCACGGACGGCACCGCCACGGCCCCGGCCCGCTCGGGAGCCGCCGCCTCACTGAGGGGAGCGGCAGGAGGAGGGGTGCCGTGAGGCGAGGGGGATAAGGGAGGGTGGGGGGGGCGCTGAGGCCGGAGGGAGCGGGGCCGGGGAAGGCTGAGGGACCCCCGGCCGGGGAAGGCTGAGGGGCTGAGGGACGGGTGAGGGGGGGGATGCCCAGGGTACTCACTCAGCCACGACTCCAGGCTCTCCCCTTCCGCCTCCGCCATGTTGCCGGCCCGCCCCGAGGCCACGCCCCGGCCGCGCGAGCGCCGTGAGGGGAGGGGCGGGGCCTGGCCGAGCACCGCCCCCTCCTCCCTCCCTCCCCTTAGCGGGCGCGGAGGGAAGATGGCGGCGCCCAGCGCGGCGGGGCTGAGCCGGCGGCTGCGGGCCTGGCTGCCCCGGTAAGCGGGGCTGGGTGAGCGGGCGGGGTGTACGCTGTACACGGACACCCACGGACAAGTCGCCCGCAGGATGGGACCTGTCGGGGACAGGCCTGTGGGGAGGCCGGCCCGTGGGGACAGGCAGGGCCTGGCGGGGAGGCCTGGCGCGGCCCGTCCCTCTGGCGTGGGCATTGGCTGACAGTTTTGCAGCAAAACTGCGGGCTTTGCTGTTGATTTGCGCCTGTGGCTCTGCTGCGGGAGAGAAGCAGCGATGGAGAGGAAGGCGGAGACGCCTCTCTAGTTTTGATGTGTCGGGGGGATGCGGTGTAGGGGAGAACTTTGTAGAGTGGGGTTGATGGTTGGACTTGATGATCCCAAAGGTCTTTTCCAACCTGAATGATTCTATGTCCTTCTGAGATGTGTTCACATCTCTCTCCACACCCTCCTCCTGGCAGATCATGTCAATTTACAGGTCCCCCTCCTCTTGTCTTTGCAGGCTGACGCAGGTGAGATGGAGTCGCTATAACCCCAGTTTCGTAGAGCCAGAAGTGAACAAGGAATTGTATCAGAAACCTCCGGAGGAGCTGACCAAGGAGGAGAAGGAAAAACTGGAGCTTAAGGCTGTTCAACCCATAAAAGCTGCTCCTCCCACTCTCTCCAGCTCCGTGTTCAGCGACCCTATGATCAGGTCAGAGAAAGCATCATCTCCACCGCTGTCACAGCTGGGTCCTGTGGAGCTGAAGTGCTTGGGAGCTGTGCTGTCCTGTCCTCAGCCTCCCCTTGCTGTGCATTTCCTTCTGTTACAGCACAATCCTTTTATTCAGGTTAATCTTTTCCCACAAAGCCAGTCTATTGACTGACGGTGATTAGAGGGTAATTACAGCAGCTCTAGCAGCACCCAGATTTAACCATGGGAACAACACACCGGGGGGGGGGCTTATTTCTGTGGGTGATAAAATCAGAATTTAAATCAGATTGCATTTGGCTTTGTGTTTACAGTAAATTCACCAATATGATGATGAAGGATGGAAATAAAGTTCTGGCCAGAAGCCTCATGGCTCAGGTGAGAACTCAAGTTTCTTCTCGCTATTCTGTTAATATAAAATGGGAAGCTGGGAGGTCAAGCCCATTGGAATTAGTACCAGAACTCATATAATTTCTGCATCCTAACACATTTCTCTCTGCACACCCAATACACCATTATTTACCTGATCAGTTGTGCATTTTGTACAAGCCCCAGCCTTATTCACCTCACAGACCTGGTGGTGATAGCGTAATGGAGAACATTCTCTTTCCACTCTTCAGTGTTTCTTGGACCTTATGTAGAATCATAGAATCATTTAGGTTGGAAAAGACCCTTAAGATCATCAAGTCCAACTGTTAACCTAACACTGCCAAGTCCACCACTAAACTTCAAACTCAGAGTATACCCTTAAAAGCATAATTTTCTCAAAAGATCTTCATTCCAGCTCTCTTTCATGCCTTATCTTCTGTTTAGCTTGTCAATAAAGTCCTACACGTGTCACCTATGAGACACGGTTTTGACCCCTCCTGTGACTGGTATTAGCTGGTGGTCCCATCTGGTGTGTTCCAGCTCTTGAAATGGGGACACACCTTGCCCAAATATTCCCCAAGTAACTGCTGGTTCCTTGTGACAGAGAAACACAGGCTCTGGGCTCCTGAGGCCAGAGGGGAGGATGCTGAGCATACACTGACCTGTATTCCTGTCTCTGCTTCCTCCTTGCCCTTCCTTGGCTCAGGTCTGTGCTACACAGCTCCCTCACCCCAAATGCAATGTCTGATAAAGAGACTGAAGAGCTGGAAAAGGGTGAAGTAGAACATGAGTTAAAAGAATCCCCAACTGGCATGTTGCCTATAGAAAAACAGCTGCTCAAGTGAAAATGGGGTGCTTGTAAAGGTGATGTAGTTTTATGGAGTGGGATAATCGATCTTTTCTTCATGTCTCCTTTCTTGTTTGTGCCCCAAGACTCTAGAGGCCATTAAGAGGAAGCAGCTGCAGAAGTACTACAAAGCTCCAGAAGACGAGAAGGAGACAATCGAATGCAACCCTTATGTTATTTTCCACCAGGCTCTGAAAAACTGCCAGCCCATCATCGGGCTCAGCAGCATCACAAAAGGAGGCAAAACCTACCAGGTGAAAGGGGGAGGCCTGGGGGAGGCCTGGTCAGGAGAGAATTATCTAGGGAAGCAGATGCAATGGTTTCCACCCCTTCAACTCAAGCTTTTCTCTCCTGAGATAGAGAGCCACTTTGCAATTGGGGTTAAAACAGCAGCTAGAAACCCTGTCCAAGGTCAGGCCCCCAGGCTGGGAGTCCCATCCTCTCTGCTCCATCATGTTGCTCGGGTCGAGGTCCCAAAGGCCCGGGGTAGGTCAGCACAGCAGGAAAAGGTCAAGGAGATACAGCGCGGTATTTGAAACACAAGCAGAACCTGGCTCTAAATACGGCTTCTGCAACACTCAAGACCTAATGGAGAAATGAAATGTGGAGGCATTTCCCTGTCATTCCATGCAGGGGAGTGGTGACCACCTCCCACTTCTGCCAGCCCAAACCTGCCTGGATCCAGTTCCCAAATAGAGTAGAAGTCCTGACAAAGGCCAGTGTGTGCTGGCAGTAGCCAGGGCTGATCAGATTTTCCATTTTGGTAGCAATGGCCACTTTCTGTGGATGGAGGAGGTGAATTGGCACAGAACAGCTGTTGGGAGCTGGTCTCACTGCAGAGAGCAGCATGGTGTAAATCTGCACGTGTCCAGCTGGACCTGTGTCAATGCTGGAGAAGAGCAGGTTCCTGCACCCTCACAGGGCCATAAGTGCTGGAGAGAACAGCAGGTTCCTGCACCCTCACAGGGCCATAACTTACGGTTTAAACCTTTCCCAGGTCCCAGTCCCTCTGACGGACAATCGGAAGCGCTTCCTGGCCATGAAGTGGTTAATCACTGAGTGCAGGGAGAACAAGAACCGTAGGACGATGATGCCTGAGAAGCTCTCCCAGGAGCTCATCCAGGCCTTCAACAACGAAGGGCCCATCATCAAGAAGAAGCACGTGCTGCACAAGATGGCAGAGGCCAACAGGGCTTATGCCCACTTCCGCTGGTGGTAGGGACTCTGTGGGCACGGGACAGGTTGCCACCATGAGCCCCATGACCTGGAGAGCAGAGCCCCAGGGCCACCTGCTTGGGAGAAGCTGTGGAGAAGAGGAAAAGGTGGAAGATCCCTTCCAGACAGCTTCTGAACTACGCCAAGGAAAGCCCATCCCACCCCCACAAAGTTCATTTCCTTTGTGCTTGTTTGGATGGGGGAAGGGGGAATCTGAAAGAGTTGCCGACCTCTGCACGGACACTCTAGTTATTTCTTAATCATTTTCGCGTGAAGACGAGCCTTAGATGTTTTTCTTAGACCAATGCTGTACAAAATAATCTTCCACTTACCTGTTTCCTGGGGACTTTTCAGTCTCTCTGCTCCTGTATTCAGCAACGGTTTTGGCTGCACAGCTAAAAGCAGAGCTGGATTTTTTTTCTATACCATAACCAGCCTTAGCGTGAGTGGCACAAAAGGCCATAAAAAATCCTTTTTGATTTCCGGTTCTGGTCATCAGCAACATTGTCTGCACAGGTTTGATGGGAATGTTAACACAAAAAATAAAACCAGTTTTGTGGGGACGGTTTCTCGGTTCCAAACCTTTGTCTCTGTTGCTTGAATCTCACACCACACTCTTTCCAACTACCCTGGTTGTGTACAGCCACGCTGACACCCTGCACTGGAGGAGAAAACAAGCATCACAGCCTTGAGGCTACAGTCAGGAGCAACCTTTAAGTTATTCATAGCTCAGCAGCTGCATAGAGAGAAAGCAGGGCACATGTTAGTGGAAAAATTTTATTAGAAAAAAATCATTCAATAGACTATTTTGTTTCCTTTTTTCCTCTCCCTTTCTTATAAGAAACATACCATAGTGGAAATTTGCTAAATTCTGAAAAAAACCCATGACAGTTATTGTATAAAACTTATAAAACCAGTTGGTAGCTACATGTGCTGAGGGACCTGTCCTGCTGCAGGCTGCCCTGTGGCAGGTGTGGGTGGCTCGTGACCCGTGGGGGAGGCTGTGTGTGCAGGTGCAGCTGCTGTGCTAGGAGTCTGGGAAAAACAGCACTTGGTTGAGCTGTTTGTGAGGCCACAGCTTTTTCTGTGACTTGTTCCCAAGAACTAGGCATAACTTGAGCTGGGAAAGATTTCTCCTCTACCTCCCACAGCTCTGCTGTCTCTCAGGTCAACCAAGGTGCTCTCAGCCTACGCTGTGCCTGCCCTAACACCCACGTAAAATGCTGGTTTGAACTAGAAACCTTCCTTGCCCTCTGCTGGCAGCAGCCCAATATTAGACCAAATCAGTGGGAGAACGTGCTGGGTTAAACGTGCCCTTCCCACCTCTCCCAACCTCCAAAGTCGGGCTAGCACCAGTCACAGCCTGGCAGTTACTTGCCCAGAGGCTCTAGTCAGTATAAATCCTATTGACAGGAAGTGCTAGAAAAAACATTAACGTGAAAAGCAATTCAAACTTGGTATGAAGCTTGCTGGTGAAAGTGCTGGGGACATCTCTCCACCTCTGCTGCAGAGAGGTTAATCCGTCACTTCGCTGTAATAGTATTTCTGGGCAGCGTCCGTCATCTTCCAGTCGGCAGCCCGGAACTCGATGATCTCCAGCAGCAGGAGCTGGGAGAGGGAGCTGAGCCCCTCCTGCAGGAGGAAACCATCTCGGAGGAGGGAGAAGAGCTCATCCATCCGCTGGGAGTTCATCTTCTCCAGCTGCTCGCCGATGCGATGGAGCTGTAGGACCAAGCAGTCCACCTTCAGATGGAAG